AGAGCGCTTCATAAATGCTTTAAGAGAAGAAAAACAAAGAGCAAATGCATAAATGTTGAATACTAAGGACAGGACACCAGATACATTTGCTAATTTCTATATTAAAATCTAAAGTAGCAAAGCAATACCAATTTGAACGGAAGAATCAAATTCAGGATAAGCAGACAAGAAATGCCCATCATTCAAAAAGGAAATGAGCTTACGTGGAGCATTAAGTACTCCAACCCCAATCTGAGGATGCATTTAGACATGCTTTCAACAATTTGGCCAACGTCAATGCAAAATGGAAAACATGGTCTGTGTCTGGAACGTTTGTTACAAAACAAAGACTACAAAGAGTATGCAATTGATTCTTCCTGTGTTTGAAATTTTATTTGAATTGAATACCTTTTATATTTTAAATATTAAATGGTTGTATTTTTTTACATTTTTAAATAATTTTCACTGGCCCTTCATTTTGGGTTAATGTTCTCTTCATATTTTCCATTATCAACTGTCTGCATCTGCTAGAAAACATTCAATATGTTATTGAGTATATAATCTTGTCACTACACACAGAAACATCATTTATTATTACCTTCCTTTTTTTTTTAACAGAAAACCTCAGAAACTTTTAAAACAACTCTATTACGAAAAAGTGTTTCACTGTTTACCATGCAGTCACCCATTATTATTTTTAAAACATGAAAATAAAGTGTTATAAAAAAATACGGTACCCTGAAAACTAATACAATGTTATACGTCAATTTATATCTCAGTCTTTAAAAAAGACAAATATGGAATATAATCTATGATTTGAGAATTTCCAGGAATTCTGATTTCTGATTATCCCCAATCCTGAGGGTAATCAGAAATTTGAAACCCTAGGACCACAGAGTCCCATCCCAGCCGTGGGGAAGGTCTGAGAGGAGAGGCTGGGAGGGGCTGTCTGTGCGGGTGAGGAGGAGGAGAGATATTAGAGCAGGATCATGTAAGATGGGGAGGAGGAAGAGCTGCCAGGGAGGGACCAGGACATTCCCTGCCAGTGCTCCCGGCTTACCTCTGCCCTCCATCCCCACCCCCACCCCCCCTCATTTCCCCATCCCTGATGCTCTGCGGAAGAGAGATACTGGCCTAGGCTGTTTGTGGAGAAGCTTTTAGCATCATACAGCCCTCTGCCTTGCAGAACCAGCTGATAGCCCGACTACCTGCTGTCTCTCCTACATTTCAAGAAAAATCCCGCTCTCCTTTGTGAAAGATTATGAAAGGACCAGTGATCTGTGTTCCCAGCCGGGGGTCATGTAAGTAGGGTCCTACCAAGGATGGAAAGGATGCAAATATGGGCACCAGGGGGCCTGGGAGAAGGAAGTAGGGGGTTGGGGCTCTCTAGGGATGGACGTGGGGAGGAGGGACATGGGAGGGAGCCGCTGAGGGGAAGAGAATGGGGTAGTGGAGTGGGTTCTTCTCCCTCTGGCTGCCTCTCAATTCTCATCTTTCTCCTTCTTGCTCCACAGCTTCCTTACTAAAAAGATGCGAGAAATCTGTGCCGACCCCAGGGAGGCCTGGGTGGAGAAGTACATCAGATACTTGGACAGTCAAAAGTAGCTGGGAGCAGTAGGACCGCCACAGCCCAGGGAATGTGAGAAGAGGCCACAGGGTCACCTCCCCTCCCCAGCCAAATCTCTCAGCCCCTGGTGCTCCCTGGAGTTGTCCTGGCCTGATGGAAAGCCCATTCTTGCTTTCCTGCGCTCCCCTGCTCTGAAGGATCCACTGTCTCCTTAAGCTTTGCCATGATGATGCTCTGCCCTGTGGGCCCCAGGACAGCATCCCTCCTCCCTTTGCAGGCACTCAGGTGCTGAAATAAATCTGTGCTGTAGAAAAGGACCTGGTGGTCTAAATCAATTCTCTCAAGACAGTCTGGTTATTTCTTTTATTTTACAGATACGTCTATGATATTTACTATGTACTAGGTGACTTGTAAACACTTCAGTAGGAGCTAATTTAAGTGCCAGAATGATGGGGGCGGAGTTAGAATCAGGAGAAGGACAAATGAGCAGTCCTCGTTCACGGTCCTTAGATAACAACGGTGTGAATACGGGCAAGCTCAGTGGGGTGGTTTATTTGCAGGTGGAGAGCTGAGGTGCCCACCTCACACCGCTCATCATTCCCTTTGTCTCTGTGGGTGCTGCAGCTCACCCTTCCTTGAAAGCTCTTCCCGACATCTCTGCCGGTTCCAGCATTTCCTGTGCACCCCTCAAGACCTACTACAAATAGCACCTTCTTGTCCTCCTCAGCCACTGATATCTTACAGTCTTTCAGTTGCTGCCCTGGCCCTCATCCATGCTGCCTAGTATAAAAATGACTGGAAATTTAACCATCCCCCGACCATCACCTCAGCTAAAGATAGAGGCAGGTACATGGCAGTGTTCTGTGGACTGTGAGGCAGAAAAGGAGGATTTGCCTCAGGACCTTTGCATATGCTATTCCCTCTCTGAGGTCTCCTATAATAACCACTCTTAACTGGCCAATTCCCACCCATCCCTTAGGTCTCAGATAAATGATCCTTCTTAGTATAACCCCTTAGTATAAGCTTTGTCTCCAGTCATACTGTTTTATAAAATCATATAATTAATCCATCATAGCTCTTATCACACTTGGTAATTATGTATTTATTATATGTGGTTATTTCTTTCATGTTTTTCTCCATCACAAGACTGTCAGTTCCATGAGGCCAAGCAGCATGGGATGGGTGGTGAATCAGGAGGTGGAAACACTTTGCTGATGGCCCAGACAGTGTCTCTTCACCCCCACCTTTACCCTAAAAAATGAGCTGGGTCAATAGGATTATACCAGATTTCCAGGTTAGGGTGGAAATTATGGCCTGGGGGCCAAATCCAGCTGCCGCCTGCTTTTTGAAATAAAGTTTTATTGGAACACAGCCGTGCCCACTTGTTTCCACGTTGCCTATGGTTGCTTTTGCCCTGCAAGTACAAAGCTGGGCAGGTGTGACAGAGACTTTACGTGGCCCACAAAGCTTTTAAAATACTTTCTAGGACAAATAGCTACGTTGGTATACAAACATCCCTGGGCAACGGGCCTCTAAGCTCCAGGTGTTCTTGTCCCCAGCAAGACCAATCCAGAAAGCTCCCATCGCTACATAACCAATTGGTTCTCCCAGCCCCCTCCTAACTTCTCTAAAATTGTGTGAAGCAACTTGGAGCAGGATCTCTCTCTCCACAGCACAGCCGGGGTGCCTGGCCCGATAGTACCTCTCCCGGCGCAAGGGCAGCTTGGGGGGCTGCTGTTTTCCCTCCAGAAGCTGAGCATTGTGCCTGCACGAAGTGTCCCTAGTCCAAGATTTCCCCATCCTCTTACTCAACACCTGATAATGCAAAAATAAAAAAGATAAATGGCTTGCAGGTGGCCCTAGGACCTCACCAGTGACTCATCAAATGGGAATTGTACTGAAGCGTTTCAGATTACTTTTTGCTTCATGGAAGTCAGTAAATCCGTATTATTTGAGAAAAGCAACAGGTGCTGAATTTCCCATTATTATTTTCTTCTGCTGTTAGTTTATTTTATTATTTGTAAGGGGAGGTAGTTGTTTGCTTTTTCTGATATGTTTGACAGGCTCTTATTAACTGGCCAGGAATTTGATTCAAAGATCTCTTTCCAAAGAGAAAGAACGCTTGGGGACAGGATGGAAATTAAAGGTGTGTTCAGATCAAGGTGGCAGATCGAACTCCCAGATTTAGAACTGCTCCTGTCTTTCATCATGAGGAAACCAAAGACGAGGCGTGCATGGCAGGAGGGAAGACCAGTCGTCTAGAGTTTGCATCAAATTTCTGGAAGACGGAAAATAAACAGAGTGCTATGAACCGATCAGTCACAGCAGAGGAGATCAGAACCCAGGACGCGCTCAGGCAGAAGGAGCAGTGGAGGCTTTGGGCCCTGGACACGGGTAGGGGAAGCAGAAACGAGAAGTGTGCAGGAGGTAGGATGATCAGTCCGCAGGCAGCTACACACAGATGCCCTTGCCCCACTCATCCTCCACTGGGACTTGCAGTGTCAAAGTGAAATATTGCACCCGACAAAGTAAACCAGCAAGCAAGACTTTACTCAGGACTACTGCCAGAGGGGAGGCCGAATGAGCTCACCTCCACTGAAACAAAAGGCAAGAGAAGTTTTTAAGCAATCAAATGAAGTAGTGGAAAAGTACCGAAGGGCGTCAGGGGGACGCTGATGCATGGGGTGTGCCCGGCACATTGAATTGTTCCTTCCTGAATGTGCAGATGTTTTTCTCTGTGATTCGGCCATCTGTGTCTGCTACTTGGCATCCCCTGTAGTCAGGCTCCTGCTGTCCCACAGAGACTGGGAGGCTGGGGCGCTACCTTCCTCGATGATGACATTTCAAAGGGATGCTTCCCAGGTCCTTGAGAAAGATGTTCCTGGGTGGTAAAGCTGGCAAGAGTCTGGGAGATGATTCATACATGTATGTCTCAAAGGGGCAGAGGAAGAATTTATACTCACAAGTTTTTCTAGAGTAAATGTTCTAAGAAGGGGAAGCCAGGGGACCAGAGGCAGAAAGAAGCCTGTCTGAGATTTAGTGAAGCTGATAAAACACGAAGACCATCTGGGTCACAGCCTGGAGTTTATCCCTAAGAACTGCCCTAAATAGTCTTGAAGGGAGAGCTAGGGCTTCCAGTGGGGGCGGTAATCAAGGAAAGCCCCCATTCACTGCAGTTTGGGACGGGTCCGCATCCTCCCCACACCAGCCGGCTGAGGTGACCCACCTAGGTGCACTCAGCACTCAGCTGGCCTCCGATTTGGAGGAAAATCCTACTAGGACAGAAGCCATGTTACCCCACCTACCCTTTCTAAATATGAACAAGAGAGGAGTCACAGACACAGTGGTTAACTTCTGACATTTAAGGAGGCAAGGACAGAAAAGGAGGATGGAGGGAGGGAGGCAAGGAGGAAGGAAGGGAGAAAATTTACTTTCACATGGACTTTCCTTGTCAGTGTTCTGACCTAAGCTGCTTTGACATCGCTAAGAGCACTGGTAGCCGGAAAGCATCTGTTTGCCTGCATCTAGTAACTTCTAAGGGACAAGCTCCTTGGGTAGAACTCAGCCAGGGAGTCCAGGGCTGCCAAGGGGCAGGCTGGTGACAAGGAAGGTGACTTGGCCAGGAGTGTTTGGTGCTGTCACCTGCAGCTAGATGATTGCTAGGGAATGGAGGAGGGCACCCTGAGGCTGTGCCAAGGAGAAAAGAAATGAGCAAGAGAAGGGCTGGGGTCAGGGGGAGGCAAGAAAAAGAGGCCATGACATTGGGCTGCTCTTGACTGACTGAAACCAAGCAGTGGGGTCCTTAGGAGACGGAGCCTGAGGGGTGGCATTAAGAAGCAATGGCCTCTAATGAACAACCACTGTGCTAAGGCACTGTGCAAACTGCTTTAATCATCTTAATCCACCAAAGTGGGAAACATTATCCCACTTATAAGTATCAAACTGAGATTCAGAGAGGTTAAGTGGCTTTCCCAATACTGCCCAGCAAGGAATGTCAATGGAAAAGTTCAAAAACTAGGCTAAAGAACCAGGCATCTTGGCTTCTTGTTTTTACTATTCCACTTACTTTTTTTTTCCTTTTTGGATCAGGAACAAGTTAATCTCCCAAAATTTCAGTCTTCTTCCCTAGAAATGTGATACCAACACCTAACTCACAGGGTTGCAATGATGCACATGTAACACTCAACCCACAGAGATACTTGCATTTCTCCTTCAAGCAACGGAAGCGATTATAACAAGTAGGCAAAAAAATGGGGGGAAAGGTGTGGAATGAGGATTGAGTGTTTTTATGCTTTGGTGTTGAGCACTCAACGGATGCTTCAGGCCCCAGGTCCCTCGGTCCATGGCTCTGTGATTAGACTCCTGCTTCGTGGTAAAAAGCAACTCATCTCTCCAATCACTGGTGCAAGACCTAGGAGTTATCCTTGACCTCTCATCATCCTTAATTCATGACTTTCTAATTCAGGGACCAGCAACTACGACTTGGGGTCCAAATCTAGCCACCACCTATTTTTGTAAGGCCAGTGAGCGAAGACTGATTGAAAACAATCAGAAGCAGCTGCGTCGTTACCTACACCGGCAGCGGGGGAAGGGGCCGCTGTTCACTGCATCTGATGAGCTGGTACAAAACAGCTCCTTGGAGATGCCCTGACCAGGACCCTTTGTATTCCCCCCAGAGCCCCAGCGGGTCAGACAGACCCAGATTGTGCGTAGGGGAAGGGGGTCACTGTTGGGAAGCCCTTGTGCCGTCAGCTGAAGCCTGAAGATGAAATGCAAACGTGGGAAAATAGGAAAGGGGGGGAAAGCACAAATGGAAGCGCCTATGACAAAAAGCAAAACAAATGGGGGGTGGGGGTGCAGTTTGCCAATAGTCTACTGTAACCTTCTAGAAATCCAAACACGGAAGAAATTTTATCAATCCTTGACAAATACGACTATCCATGAAAACACCTTGTAAGGCAGGGATTATTTGGCCCATTTGATAGGAGTGAAGAACAAGACTAAGAAAGGTAAACAGATTTGCCCAAAGGCACAGAGTTAGTCATTTGAACAAGAGCTCTCAGAGGATGAGAAGTCACCTAGTTGGTTTCAAACATGAGATTTACCATGGACTCCAGGTGACCCGGAACAAGCTACTTGTCCTCCTCAAACTTCAGATTCCATATTTACAGTATCTCCAGGTTTGCTTTGTGGATCAAAAGAGGTACTGTATATAAACCCCATCAAACGCAAAAATCATTTTTTCACTTCTCCTTCATGCAGGCAAGTGTGTTTAGCTGAACAATTAACAGGCTCTGGTAGGAAGTATGAGGTGCAGGGCAAGTTTCTGTGTCTTTCTTTAGTAAGAGGAAGAAAGTGAACGGCTTGGTGCCATGATAATATTTCTCAGCTGTAGCTCAGGTGCTAGGACTCTCTTACACATTTCCAGGTGTCTCCATCCACCCCGACACTCACAAAGGAGCCTGGGAGTCAACCTCTCTATCCTTCCTTCATCTTCAACACGCAATCAATCCCCCAAGTTACTTGTTTCTCCCAAACACTGTATACCTCCAAATGGACCCATTTGTTCTATTTCCAGTGCATCCACGATGGTCCAGGCCACCATCACCTCTCAGCCGGCACATGGCCATAGCCTCCTGACTGCATCCTCTCAGCCCTTCCTCTGCAGCTGGCTATTTTCAACATGTTTCTCCCTTGCTTTAACACTTCAACTGCCTACCATGACATTTACGACAGAAATGTAAATTCCTTCGTCTGTCTGACAACAGTCAGCACAGGGTGGCCCCAGCATTTCCTTCCAGCCCCTTCTCCACCATGATTGCCCTCCTCCCCGCTCTCCAGCCAGCGTGTTTTCCCCAGATTCGCTAGGCTTTTTCTTGTCTTGGAAAGTGTTTCCATTCAAATATAATTGCTTTAAAGATGTGGTGTATATATACACACGCACACGCATACATATACAGAATGGAATACTATTCAGCCATAAAAAAGAATGAAATAATGCCATTTGCAGCATCATGAATGGACCTAGAGATTATCGGAAAGAGTGAAGTAAGTCAGAGAAAGACAAATGTCATATATCACTTATATGTGGAATCTTAAAAAAAAAGATACAAATTCTATATACAAACCTAAAATAGACTCACAGACATAAAAAACAAACCCTGGTTACCAAAAGGGAAAGGGTGGGGAGGGATAAATTAGGGGTTGGGGATTAACAGACACACATTACTATATATAAAAAAGATAAACAAGGACCTACTGTATATATAGCACAGGGAACTGTATTTAATTTCTTGTAATAATAACATATAGTGGAAAAGAATCTGAAAAGAAAAAATATGTATGTATGTATATGTATACCTGAATCACTTTGCTGTACACCTGAAACTAACATTGTAAATCAACTACACTTCAATAAAAAATTTAATATACATAATTGCTTTAAAAAGGTAAAATCATAACTCTCATATAAATATTTTTTATTTTTTTAGATTTTATTTAATTTTATTTAAGATTTTATTTAATTCATGGCTACAGTCTGAATGTTTGTGTTCCCCCAAAATTTGTTTAAATTCAAACCCCCAAAGGTGATGATATCAGTAGACAGGTCCTTTGGGAGGTACTTAAATAATGAGGATGTAAGTCAAAACTGCCTAGGAGGGCAGGAAGGAAGCTGGCAGGTGGATGAGAGGCCCCAGAGAGGAACTGCTGGGCCAGTCTCAGCATCTGATCCAGCTGGGGAGGAAGGTGACAGCAGTGCAAAGAAGGCGAAAAGAAACAGAACGCGTTCCGGCAGCAGCTCCTTTGCCTCAAGTAGCCTTCCCGCTCTCAGGCTGAGCGGTTGCGAAGTTTTGGTGAAATGCTATGGGCAATTTGGATTAAAGTTAACAGCAAATCATGACTTCACAGATTAATTAATTACTGCACAAATGAGTTTGATGTATAAATATTTGCTTTTAAATCTTACATTTACTAGAAGTAAACGAAGTTAAACCGTTTTTTTTTCTCTTTGAGGAACTGAAAGGACAGAATGTCTTTGATTTTCTTGAGAACAGCGTACTGGCTTCAAGGCAGACTGTTGTGTAATCTGCCCGACGATAATGTAGAGCTTTTCTTACATGTTTATAGAATAAATCTTAGAAGAAAAAAAAATATGGTAGCATTTTTTCTAAATGAAATTCTACGAACATGTCACAAAACTTTGATGTTCCTGGGAGCAGTTAGGGAAATGCTGGCTTTTCAAGAGCTTATTTCAAATAGTTGAGAGGCATTCATCCCAGCGGGCTTTTGCTGTGCTGTGAATACGGCTCCAGGGTAGGGGTGGCATTTAACCCACTGAAGTCAGCACCCGGCCCTAGGGTTCTCACGTGGCTTTGTTGGAGCAGTTTTCGAGAGATCCTGCTCTGGGTGACAGTCTTCAGTGGTTGAGACTTTGTTACCTCAGACTGTCTGTCACTTCTGCCCCCAGATAAATGTAGGTTAGTGAGGGCAGAAAGCCACACCATTGACAGGAGAGGCGACATGGCCTTCCTGTCCCTTGTGGGGCTGTCGTGTGTTTAATCCCCTGATGCGTCCTCTCGTTATTTGTGAGGGTTCGTCAGAGGGCCTGTGGGCAGGAGGCAGAGCTTTTTGCTCAGGTAGAATGTCCTTTGGGGGAGGGTGAAATAGGATGGTGGCTGGGCCTGGGCCCCGAGCTCTGGGGACTCATTCTGTCTCATACACAGACTGGAAAAGACCAAGCAAGTCCCTTCACTTCTTGGGACCTCGTTTCCCCTGCCTGTCTGGTAAAGGGCTAGGGTGATGTCCAGTGTCCTTCTGGTGCTAATGAGTTCTGGGATCTTTGCTGAGCTTTCCCAACAAGCGTCTGGAGTGGAGTTGGGCAGGAAGGAGTTGAGGGCAAGCAAGAGGCCTAAGCCCTCGGACCCTTGGTTCCATGACCCAGGGCAGCACCTGCCTCCCCAGCCCCTCTGTTATGAAAGGACAAGGGGATGGCTTCCTGGCTCCCTTCCCTGCTAAAGCCGCCTTCCCCAATGCACACACGTACACATGCGCCATTCAGTGTTTTATTTGGAAGATTTTTTAGGCGGTAGCCCAGTGTTTTGGTCAGCTCAGGCTGCCATAACAAAATACCTCAGACTGGGTGGCTTAAATAACAGAAATTAATTTTCTCACAGTCTGGAGGCTGGAAGTCCAAGATCAAGGTGCCAGCATAGTTGGGTTCTCAGGAGGCCTCTCTTCCTGGCTTGCAGACAGCATCTCACTGTGTGCTCACACGGCCTTCCCTTGGTGTGTGCACATGGAAAAGAGATGTCTCTTCTTATTCAAAGTTCATGAAGCCTGTTGGATTAGGGCCCTGATCTTATTATCTCCTAAACACCCTAATTCCAAATATAGTCACATTGGGAGTTACGGCTTCAACATACAAATTTGGGAGCGGGGGACACAGTTCAGGCCATGGCACCCAGTAACACAAGGATCCCTGTATATGCCAGTGGAATGAGGTCCCTGCCTTTTAAAAGTTCACGAACTGGGAGGGGTTTAGACTCATGGGCCTGAAAGCAGTAGGGTTTGTAGTTGTTCAGGGTCCTGGTTTTGGAGGAACCGGACCCGTCTGAGTCCCAGCTCAGCCACTTACCAGCCGTATGGCCTTGGGCTAATTCCTTAACCTTTCTCTCTCAGCCAGCATCCTCATCTGAGAAATCAAGAGAACCGAGTAGGTGCTTGTGAGGATCAGATGAGGGCTTTCAGGGGAGGCCCGGCACCAAGTCTGCGCCCCTACTGAGCGCTCAGCCAATGGGAGTGATCCCTGCTGCTCTGCCGCTGGGCCAACCCTGTCTCTAGCCTCAGCAACGTCCTCACTCTTCCAAATGCCCTCTCCCCAGCTTCCTAGGACTTAGACGGCAAGTGGGCAGTTAGAAACAGCACCTGCATCTGGGAACAGCCCCCATCCCCCGGTGAATCATTGTGCTTTTAACTCACTCTCAGGGCGGAGCAGTTAGTCCTTTGACCTCGTGCTGAACACATCTCTATCCTGTAACTTACAACTTTTTATGGTGAAGTAATCTCAAAATTACGCAACAGTTTCAAGGCTAGCACAAAGAACGCTTTGCCACATTTTGTCATTCATTCTTTCCTTCCTTCTCTCCCTCCTCCCTCCCCCCAACCACGATCGATTTGAGTTCTTTGAATCCCCCATGTCCCTTTACCCTCTGAATGTTTTAGTGTACATTTTCTAAGAAAAGAACATTCTCTCACGTGACCAGAGTATTATTATCAAATTCAGGAAATGTATAAGTTTATCTAGTCAGTACAGTAGTATCTAATCTGAGGTTCATGTTTCAGTTTTGCCAACTGTCCCAACAATGTTATTTAAAGCAGTTTTTTTTCTGTTCTAGGATCCAATCCAGGATCACACACTACATTTAATATCCCCTCTTTAGTCTCCTTTAATCTGGAACAATTCCTGAACCTTCTTTGCCTTTTATGATATTGACAGTTTTTTTGAAGAGTTCAGTCCACTTATGTTGTAGGATGTCCCAGGTTGGTCCCTTAATATTTGTTTAAGGGAAGGTGAGTTAGTAAGCCGTTTCCACGTCCTTTTGGGTACGTACGTAAGTTGCCGAATGCCCCGCCTCGCACTAGGTGCTGTGAGCACAGCCTGGCTCTGCCTTGGGACTTAAGTCTGGGTTTGTGGGAACAGCAGTTACTGTCAGAAGGGCTGGAAGGGCCCCGGCCTGCTCATGATTAGGGGTCTGCCATGCTGGCACCGACAAGCTTGGAAAATACATCTTAGATGGATGCAGGGGGAGTCGGCATTCTGGAAGTCTCCAAAGATGCAGAAAATGGCCCTGCACCTGTTCCAGCATCCACTTACCTACTTCGCCTGGCCTCCTGAGGTGTCCTGAAGTTTGCACACTCCAAACCGAAGTCGCTTCTCAGAAATCTCCAGTGAGCTGCAGTCCTGGGTTCTAGACTGTCCCTGCTGCGGCTCCCCTCTGGGCCAGTGGTGGGAGAGGAGCCCCTCCTGGCTCTGCCAAGTGTCCCTGGAATTGGGAACAAGTAGGGGAGGGGACAGTCCCTGAGCCTGGAGTGTGGGAAGACAGCCAGGACCCTGGCCTATAACAAAGTCAAGCCAACTTGGGATGGCTTGTGATCTGACAGACAGCTCGTCAGACCCGGAGCCTCGCTTTTTCAGCTGTTTAACGTCTCTGTCGGACAGTATATAGTACGGAAAACAGCGAATTGTAATTTCTATTCAAACAACTGTGTAACGTCAGGAAACTATCATGCTAGTTGGAGGTATTTTGTCAGACCAAAGCGAACAATGCAAGAATGTTTTAAGTGACATCAATCTTTGCAAAACTTTGGCCAAGCCAGCTTTCATTGTGCAAAACAAAATAAAATTGATTTTCATCTGGTCATTAAGTCAACATCATTGTCTGCTGCGTTTTAACACATATTCATACTTCAAAGTGCTCTCCCTGGGGCTGCAGTCTTTCATGTGAGAGAGATCTAGAGTCCTCTGCTTTTTTGATTAAGTTAATTCAAATTAAATAAAAAGGAAAATTCAGTTCCTCAGCAACTGATGACGTTTCAAGGACTCAGGAGCCACAGGTGGCCGGTGCGCCCACGCTGGGCCTTGCAGACCTGGACCCTCATTGCAGAGCTCTCAGCTCTGCTCCGAGCTTCCCGCGGTCTGCGGGGCAGGAGTGCAGGAGAGACTTCCTTCTGCCACAGACTCGGTCACACAGGGAAAATCTGACAACAGATCGTGAAGTTGGCATTTAAACATGACTGCAGGCTATTGGCAGTGTGTCCTCTGGGCTGCTGGGTTGGATCAGAGGTGTGCTGAAAGACTGACGGAATTTCACTTCTTCTGTTGCTCGGGAAGCCGGAGCTCTGTGAGACTGGTTCCCCCATCATGGTGCTGTAGTCAGGTTTTAAAGAGAATGTGGCCAAAGCCGAATGGAGGCAGTGATTCAATCAGTGCGTGGGTCTTTACACCCCCCTGGCCCTTTGTTGTCTCAGGGCCTCGAGTGCGCAGGCCAGGGGCAGGAGCCCAGTTTCTGGCTATGGGGGTGCTTCCTGTGGGAGGGGACCCCATTCCCACTGCTGAGAGAACCGCTGCCAGGGACCCTAGGCTGGGCGCTGGGCTGAGGTGTGGTGGTGGATTCCAGAGCAGGGCGGGGGCTGGGACTCACCCATGTGGATGATAAACCACGGCTGGATTAATACTGCTCCCACATCTCAGACATCTGCTGCCAGGGACATCCAGCCCTGTTCCCAGGCCAGACTCCACTCGCTGGTCCACGAAAGTGTGGGTGAGGGGGCAGGGTTGGCAGGTGTCTCTAAGCTCCCAGGACCCAGCTCACAACTGCTGAGGAAGCCACACAGCCAGCCATATACTAGGGGAGTGTCTGAGTCTACTTGAAAGTGCCTGTCTGCCTGTGGTCCTTGCCTGTGTGTGCGCCTCTGTCCCCGCCTCCTGGCCACCTCAGCCCAGGAGCCAAGGAGGGAAGCTGAGCGGCCGAGGCTCCCGCTGCTGCCTCTGCTCCAGCCAGGATGTGGCTCCTGCACACTCTGCTCTGCGTGACCGGTAAGTCAGCCTCCCCCTGCCCTGGGTGGCGGCTGTGCTCTCCCTTTCTGTGTATCTGGTGGGGCTCAGGGCCTGAGATCAGAGAGAGTATGGGGACCCCCCCATCAGGAGAGGTCCCCACACTCAGGGTGTCCAGACCCCCAGGCTTGCTGGGAAGGGCCTCTGAGGCTCTCTGTTGGCAGAGTTGACCGCCTGTGACTTTGTGACTTCAGACTCCAGACCTCTGCCCTTTGTTCCTCCCGCCACCTGCCCTCCCTCCCTGGGCCTTCTCCCCCAGCACCCACTCCAAGCAGCTCCTCACATCTGGGCCGAGCTTGTCCCCTATGTGCAGAGGCTGGCAATGCCCACCTGCCCGGCAGAGCTCCCTTCTCTTATAGACCAGGGGTTTGGCTGAGGGCAAGGACCCTGTGAGCAGGTGGGCGTTGTGTGTGGCAGAGGGCGAATGCTGGGGGGAGCCTGCTTCCTGTTCCTGACGTCAGGGCCCACATGAGAACCTGTGTGGGGAGGGGGCGCTTCCTCTCCACACCGCCTGGGGTCCTGTTCTGGCCTTTAAAACTCTCATGGAAGCCCCTGGGGGCAAGCCAAGCCAGGAGCCGCACCCACCCACCAGGCCCCAAGGATGAGGTTGAGTGTGGTCAGCAAGTCCCCTGGGGCTGCTCGGATCAAGCCTGAGGCCAGGGTGGTCCTGCCTAGTGATCTGGGTGGACTTCCAGGGGGGCCTCCTACACTGGTCAGAAGCTGGAGGGAAGAATGAGATGCACCACAGGCAGGTGTAGTTTCAAGGCTCCTGGGAGCCTGAGTTCTCCCTAGGAACGGGACAAGTGGGGTGCGCAGTGAGTGAATGCCAGACGGTAGCTGAGAGCTGGGGCCGAGCTGGCGGGTGTCAGGGGAGGCTCAGAATTAGCACCCACCTTGGGGCCAGATCACCCAAGAAGCAAGCAAGGTGTATGTGTGTAGGGTACCAGCAAAGCATACATTTTATACTTCTAATATTTGACGTTTCAAAGACATTACAATAATCATCATGGAAAGATCAAAATTTTCTTAAAACTTCCTTATTTTACAGTTTAGACTTCCCTTTATTTTCGGTTACATATGGGGTGTGGAGAGAGTCTTACACCTCTTATGGCTTATGGCTTTGATCCCCCATCACCAGGAATGTCCAGAGGAGATGCTTAGACCAGACCCTAGTCCACTCCCTCCCGTCCCAGTACAGAGGAGGGGACTGAGGCCCAGAGAGGGGCAATGACTGGCTAGGATTACAAGCAAGTATTGGCAGAAATGGGGCTCAAGCCCCTGCCTCTACCTGCCTCCAGCTCAGTAGAATACCCCACGGCCTGGGACACTAGCCCTGCTGTCACTCTAGCCTCCTGCTCATCCCTGTCTCCTGTGGCCTCTGAAACAACCAGCCATCACTCCAGCAACTTTTTTAGTGATGTCAATCCAGATGACATTTATCAAACCCCTTCTGAGGCTGAGGCACTCCCCAGGCTGATGGACAGCAGAGAGCAAGATGGAGTAGGCATGGAATGAGATACAGCCTGAAGCCTGGCTAAGCTATGGGCCAGGACGGGGGAGAGCAGGGCCCCAGCAGCTCCAGTCTGAGTGGGAGGAACAGAGCTGTGACACTTCTGCTCCATGCTGTGAGGTCCTGAGACTTAGGGATGGACCAATCCCGAAGAGCTTCCTGGAGGAGGTGAGATTGGCACTGAGTCTTAAGGACTGGGGAGAGTCTGCGTAAGTGACAAGGAGATGCCGGGGAGGGAGGAGGAACCCCTCAGACTGTGACCTTAGGCCCAGGGCCCTGCATCCTGTGCCTGGCTGGGCCTCCTTGGTCTGGAAAGAATCCAGACTGTTCCTGGCCTGACCCTGACCTTCCACCCTTTCCAAGCACCTACTGGGCTCCTCACCCATGGGAGCAGATGAGATGACATCAGCTGTCTCAGACAGTCAGATGCAGATACATAAGCACACTGAAAGTCTGGACCTGCCCATCTCATCCTGCTACCATACGGCCTGCTGTCCCCAGGTCAGTCTTCAACTCTAACTCATCCTGTGACCACAGCTGCTGACTTCTCCCTGGGTCTCAGAGACTGAGTCTACATGGCTCGTGGGAAGAAGGGACCTGTGCTCTCAGCCTAGAGAAACTTACAGAGGTGAAGGGGCCAGAAGTCCAGGCTGCCTGCTCTGCTGTTGCACCAACTTCAGGCTGGGACCAGGGATCCTGCTGGGCCCTGCAGAGGGGAGCGGGGAGGTGGCAGAACTGGCTCTGCAGAGGGCACAACCCCAGACCCGTGACAAGTGTGTGATAGAAAGCCTTGGTCACTGAGGACGGGGGCTGTAGTGTCCAAGGTGGCCCTGGGGCTGGGGGAGGTCCTTAGCAAGTCCAGACTGGTGGCGGGAAGGGAGAGGGGGCTTTCCGTGTAGGAGAAACAGAAGGACAGCGATGTGGGGTGTGAGGGGTCTGTTTCAGAAGATGCAGGGTGATGTTTGGGAACAGAAGGCTGTCATCTCTGACGTTGCCTGCCCCCTACAACCAGGACACGCTGGCCCTGGGGTGAGCAGGCCACTTGCACACAGTGACCCTCCATCCTCAGCACACAGGAGGGCCACTGAGGATGCCTTCAGGTCACACACAGGGGATGGGGAAAGGGCATTCCACGTGGACGTAGAAAAGTGCAGTGTTTGGGGCCCGCCAGGTGTGGGGTGCGGACCTCGTTGGGGCCAGACGTCTCCCACCTTCTCTGGGAGGCCGGCTTGTGGAGTGTAGACAGGGGTCATATTGGCGGTCAGGCTGGGGAGGTCCAGGTGGGTAGTGGGGAGTTGGGGGCACCCAGAGTGCCAGGCAGCGGGAAGCCCGGCAGGCCTCCAGCTGTGACAGTGACAGACTGGTGTGGAAGGCGGAGTCCTGGAGAAAGCAGAGGCAGAGGGGCCAGTGAGGAGGCTGCTGCCGTCGTCCAGTCAAGGGGAGCTGGGGCAGGTGGACAGGGGAGGGGGAGACATTTATGAGAAATATTAAGGAGGAAAATTGGCACGCGTTTAGCACAGGGCCCAGCAGCACAGCCTGCTGCAGATCTGCTGGCCACGGTTGCCAGGCGGCCTGTGAAGGGGGCCCAGGGGGAGAGGCTGAGATGATGAGGCTGGATATGAGAGACCGAGGTGGGTGGTCAGAGGGTGAGCTGCCCCCCGGGACAGGCGGCTGCAGACAGCTCTGAGGCATGAGCCCCCCAAGGCCTTTCTGGGTGTTCTGGGCTGGGCGTCAGGACAGCTGTCTAGTCTCACTTCTATGGCTGGGCTCCTTGTATAAATTTGGGCAAACCAATGCCCCCCACTGCCCCTCAGCCTCAGTTTGCTAAACCAGGAATAGTACCATGAGAATGTGTGTTTAAAATGCCGGCGTAGGGGAGGATATAGCTCAGTGTTAGAGCACTTGTTTAGCATGCAGGAGGTCCTGGGTTCAATCCCCAGTACTTCCATTAAAGAATAAAAAAATAAATAAATAAAATGTGATGGAGGAGAGAGGGGCTGGTGTGGGGAGAAGTGGTGGCTGACAGTGTGGAGGGAGGGTCTGACTCAGTGGGCCCATGTGGTGTGCTGGGACAGCTTGGGGAGGCAGCCCTGTGGGTGGTGTGGTGACAGACGGGTTCAGCGGGCTCTCACCTCTGACAGCACGAGAAGGGGCTTGAGATTGCAGGCAAGGCCGTCAGAGAGAATGTGACAGGCCCTCCCTTGTGGTTCTGACACTGACATCAGCACCCACATACTGAGCCTCTGAAGTGTCAGATGCTGGCCGGCATCACCCTGCTTGTCTGCAGGGCCTCGTATCACAGGTGGGGAGACAGAGGTGAGGTTCTTCAGGGACTCTGGCAAAGCGAGAATTTGAG